CAAAGTTGTACTTTGGGTCCTCTAGTACCAACTGTAAAAACAAAACGAAAACGGTTTAAGGTAATTTTATTATGAACCATCATCAAAAGGAAACAAGACATTACCATTAGGAAACATGCTATTTTCACTGTATCCATGCAGAAATATAAAAATGTATGCCAAAAGTACATTTCAAATCATTTTTAATGTTTAGTATTAGAAAAATTATTTTACTATAGTTACACTTTAGTAGTAAGAACTCTATTATTGCATTATTTTTTATTTTGAAATAATTACAGATTTGCAAGAAGTTGCAAAACTAGTATAGAGAGGCCTATGTACCCTTCACCTAGATTTTCCCAATGATTATACGTTAAGTAACTGAAGTATAATATCAACACCAGGAAATTTATTTGGTAAATGTGTGTGTATAGTTCTATGCCATTTTATCACATCAAATCATTTTATTTTAATAGTTTAGTTTTTCCAAGTTAATGATATACTTTCAATCACTAGTAATAGATTACAGAAACTCTGGACACAAACTGAATGGACTTTAAAGACAAGTTAGTACCTAGCTCTTCTTTACAGATGAAAAAAGCTGATTGATGTCCAGAGGTGAAGAGAGTCAGGCAGTGCCACAGAAATAATGGAATCACAGGCACCAGATACCTGACACCAGAAAGTCATTTTTTCTTCCATATATATAAAAATTTTGCTGCAGGTGCTTTCATATAAATGAATGTTTAATTTGAATTACAATCTTAAAGAGAAGGAAATAATTTCCTTGTTTTATTATATTGAACTGAAAAAGTTGCCAAATTTTGTTCATGTAAAATCTTTGAACTTTGGCGGTTTAAAAGTAACTCTTTAGGGGACAGTAATATGCTTTCTTAATCTTTGTATCCTAGCCAGTAGTACAGTGCCTGACTTGTACAGTATCTGGTGAACTGAATATAAATAGCAGCATATACTTAAAAAACAATTGTAATCTTCATCTGAGTTAGAATGTCTATATCAAAGCTAACTAGATATAAAGAGGGAGAACGTTTTCAATATGCTAAATAAAAGACAAAAGAATACACATACAAACCTGCTACCAAACAGTGCTTAGTGGCGACTGGAGACATGTGATGACTGTAAACTGTTTCCTCAAAGTTAAATACATCTGCAGTCTGATAATCCAAAAACATTTAAAAAGTGTAAGTTCTAAGTATAAAAACAGAGCAACAAATTTTCTACTTACTTTTTCTATACTTTTAGCTATTTTAAAATTGTTAGCAATTTAACTCAAACATAAAAATGTAATAATTTTAAATTATTAAAAATAATGATTGTTGTGTATTTATTTTTAGCTCCCACAAATAAATGAGAACATGTGGTATTTCTCTTTCTGTGCCTGACTTATTTCGCTTAATGTAATTTTTTCTAAGTCCATCCATGTTGTTGCGAATGGTAGTATTTCATTCTTTTTTATAGCAGAGTAGTATTCCATTGTATAGATATACCACTTTTTCCTAATCGACTCATCTGATGATGGACATTTGGGCTGGTTCCAACTCTTGGCTATTGTCAATAGTGTTGCAATAAACATTGGAGTACAGGTATCCCTTCAACATGATAATTTCCATTCCTTTGTGTATATTCCCAGCAGTGGAACAAAACTCACAATTCCTTGAACTTGTTAAGACAAGTGCACAGATATGATGTTGATGGATGGGAGGGGGGAGAGGGAAGGAGAGAGGAATCGGTAAAGGGACATGAAAATCAACTACATTGTATATTGATAAAATAAAATGAAATAAATAAAATAAAATAAAGTAAAAAAAACGATAACTTTAAATCCCACATTATTTACAACATACTTCTCCCTTATCTGAGAAAAAATAGTTTTTCCCTAATAGTCCCAGAAATTAAGAAAAGACAACCACCTGGCTCACCATCTTCCTCTCCACTCTGAGGGGCTTCAGTATCTGCATGGATGATCCAGCCAGCACTCTGCATCTCAGTTCCATACAGCCTTGGTTACCTCACCCATGACACTGTCATCACCTAGAACTGCTCCTCCTTTGAAATTATACATTTCAGTTATCTATGACCACAATCTCCTATCATTTTCAGCTTTTCTCCCTAACCACTCCTGACATTTCCAAATAAACCCTGGAACCCCTATCAGTTCATCCTGTCCACTTTTTTTCCTCTTGAGCTTGAATTCCAAGGTCCAATACCAATACCAAGGTCAACGGTCAGTATCAACTCCTTTGCCATTATCCTTCCACTTGTCAAGACCTTGACTCTGGATGACTCCAAATGTCTACTTTCTCTGCACCATTATATCCAGGTTGATCTACACGAGGGGTTGGCAAACTCTTTCTGTAAAGGGTCAGACAGTAAATATTTTAGGCTTTGAGGACAAACTACTCATCTCTGCCATCATAGCCTCCAGTGCAACCATAGACAACAAATGAGCACATTTGTGTTCCAAAAACACTTTATTTACAAAAAGAGGCCATGAGTCAGACTTGCCCACAGTGCAGACTTGGCCAATCCCTGCTCTACCCAGGTGAAGAAAATCTTATAATAGGGCATACTGCTGTCACTATAAAGGATCATTCATTTCAACTGACTTTTCGATAATGACTGTCAGCAGTCCTACTATATTTCATTAGTATTTTTCTCTGCAATATTCTGCAACTATTTCAAACCTTTTCCATTCTCCACAAACATCTCTACTCAGTCACAACAGATGACCTGATCTTTTATTTCAAAGAGAAAATAGGAGCCAATCAGAATTCCCTTAATGTCTTACTAACAAACCTACAAACATATTTGCTTCCACTTGTCCCTTTTCTATCTTCATTACTGTTATCACGGAAAAATGATTCCTCCTCATTTTAAAAGTAAATTCCCCTATTGGTGTTCAGATCTCCTTCAGCACTGTCAGAAATCTCACCCTATAAATTATCTCCTGGGTATGTTTATAACCTCTCTTCCTACTGGCTCATTTCCAACAGCACTAAAAGTTCAAGTTTCTTTTATCTTAACAGCAGCCCTCTCCCCAAGACAAAACAACAAAAAGCATTTACACCTTATATTCTCTCTAGTTAACCAGCTTTCCTCCTCTTCAAATCCTAATTTTGACTATCTCTACTTATCTACCATGTATTTCTCAACTCACTGAAATCTTATTTTTATTTCCACTACTCTCATTCACACTACTGTTCCAATATCACTGATAGCCTCCTTATCTTACCTAATCTGTCATGCAACATAGCTAACTACTCCATCTTTCTTAAAATAATCTCTTTCACTGGCTTCCCATTATATCATATACTCCCAATTTTCTCTTACTCTCTGGCTACTCCTTTTCATTGTCTTTTGCAGGCTTTGTTGTTCCTTTTTCTGTCCTATTGATCTTGGTCTTCCTCCAGTTCTATGCACTCTTCTCTTCAACTGCACCTACATGCTAGTGAGTCACAAACCTGTATTTTCAGTGTAGACCTCACTCGTAAATTCTAGATAAGTACAGCTGAATTCTTAAATTATCTCCATTTGGATTTCTTGTAAATCCCTCAAAATTAACAAATCTAATATTGAACTCATCACTGTCATCCCTTCCTTATCTTAGTAAATAACAATATAATCCACCCAATTCCCAAGCTAGAGAACCTGGGAGTCATTCTTGATTTTTTTGAACAATAATGGCTTTATTGAGATATAATTCACATACCATAAAATCCACCCATTTAAAGTATGCACTTCAACAGCTTTTAGTATATTCAAAGAATTGTGCAAATATCATAATAAATGTTAGAACTCTTTCATTACCTCAAAATAAATCTATAACCATTAGCCGTCACTCCCTCATTTTCTCCCCACCCCTTGCCCTAGACAACCACTAATCAACTTTGTCTCTATAGATTTGCTGATTCTTGACATTTCATACACATGGAATTATACATGTGGTCTTTTATAATCTTTCATTTAGCATGTTTTCTTCTTTCATTTAGCATAATGTTTCCAAAATTCATCCATATTGTAGCATGGATCAGTACTTCACTTTTTATTGCTGAATAATATTCCATTGTATGGATATGAATGTTATCAATTCACCAGTTGTTGGACATCTCAGCCACTTTTTGGCTATAGTGAATAATGCTGCTAGGAATACTTGTATACAAGTTTTTATGTAGACATATGTTTTTCCCTTGGGTATATAGCCAAGAGGGGAGTGCTTAATTTTATGGTAACTCTACATTTAACATTTTGAGGAACTGTTTTCCAAAGCTGCTGCACTATTTTACATTCCCACTAGCAATGTATCAGGGTTTCAATTCATTCACATCCTCACCAATTTGTTATTATCTTTTTGATTATAGCCATCCTAGTAGTATGAAGTAGTATCTTATTGTGGATTTAATGTCTATTTCTGATGGCCATTTTTTATTTTTCACTTGTTAATGGCTAATTCATTTCCAACTCCTACCAATTCTCTCATAAATAATCTCTCATATCTATTTATTCCATTGCCATATTCTACTCAGGCCACTATCTACTCTTGCCTGGATTAATGCAACCTCCTATCTGGTTTGACTTTCCTCTTGCAGCTTTTTATTTAATTTTTTCATTTTGCCTGTTTTCTTCTTAGACTCTCCAGTGGCTTACTTTCTCTCCCATGGTGGAAAAAAATCAACCTACTCAAAATTTATAAGACTCCTCTTGATGTAGACCCTGCTTACCTTTCTGGCCACTTTTCTTTGTTACTCTATATAGCCAAACTGCG